AGATGACTCTTCAGTAGTCAGCCTTGCAGGCGACGCCCCGGAAGATATGGCTTACGCTTCCGACCACCAATGCTTCGCAGTTTATCCGGACGATAGCTCACATGATAATCATGCCCTCTCACCAGAAAGAAAACCAGTTTCGCGTGGCTTACCTCACCAGTCGAGAACGCCACACCAAGCCTCCCGATCACGCTTACGCGCGTCCGAGCTGTCAAAATCAGCCGGCGACGACCTTAAAAGGGCGCCCCTGCTCGCCCCCCCTCATTTTTCTTCTTCAACTACCAACGAACTACTTCCCTTACACACTCACTCTGCTTCGCAAACCCTTTCTATCGACACCGAAACAAAAGCTTTCATTTCCAACACCATGACCACTGATATCCGAGGACAACAAGGAGTCAGCATCCTCTCTACCCTTGAGGAAGGCTATCCCTGGTCAGAAGTAAGCGACGCCTTCGCTGCCGAGAACTCTATCGAGCGGCTCGGAGCAGCCATGGCCACCTGGGTCGAAGTTTGGATTCGTGAGTTGTATGAAGACCCAAACAAAACCCTTGAACACTATTGTGGTGAAGATTGGGTGGTTGACGGGGCTTCGAAGCCTTACGCCATGAGCCAGCCCCTCATGATGCATATCACGGAGCCCTACAGTAGGGCTTCCAACGGCGGTCAAGCTGCTGTCGGTATTGTCGCCGATGCAAAAAAGATAGGCAAGAGATTACGGGACATACCCTGCGCTGCCTGGCTTGATGCTGGGGTCCCTCAACATGCGGCCGGAAACCCCAAAATGGCCCGCTTCACCCTCTGGCCTGATCACGAGGCCCACGATTTCGCGGACATAGCCATCGAAGCCGCGAGAGCAGTGTTGTTAAAGCTAGCCAATGCAGCTGAAACCACAGAAGAGCAGCTCTGTCCCAAGCATCGGGAGCACGCCTATTACCACTTTCGAGTGGTTAACTTGAAAAGGGCCGCAGAGACGTTCACAGCCCTCTATGTAACCTGACCCAACAGTTCCAGGACACCTGGAACCCCGGCTCCGGAAGCCACTGACCAAATTTGGTTCTGCGCGAACGTCATGGGGCACGCTACCATAATCTGGACGATCAACAAAGACAGCCTTGAAGCTGACAACGACTATCCAGTTGCGTCATGGTAGAAGCGAGGTTCGGGCACTCACAGACGAGTCGCCGAACCTTCTTTTTCGAAGGGGGGATGTAGCGAACGACTCTGATAAACTGGTTCGCTCAAAGGCATCAGGTGACCATGATTGAGGTTTCCGCAATTGTAACCTAAGCTTCGAAACCCCTAAGATCAAGCTCGGTTCTGGGCTACACCAGTGCAGCGTGAAGGATACGTTACGCAGCCATGATCGATCATGGCGATGGTCCGAGATGGGAAGATTGGACACCGCCACCCTAATGAAGGCTACAGAAACTAGTGTAGACGTTACTGTAGCATATTCTTGTATAAAAAGAGGAATTCAATAAAATAAGTCGGCGGCCAGAAGCCGTAGCAACAAAAAAATCCCCACAACTAGCTTCTCAACCCCAATCCTAGGTTAACAGGAACCTAACAGAGCGCTTCAACGGCCTGATCACCCACACTGAAGCCTCTAAATCCTGCTCGGTTCACAACTAACCGACTCTCCTTGCCTCTCACCCTCAAGTCGCTACTGACGCCCAAAGAAAGGATTTGGAGACTACGATTCCTAGTACGGACACCCACACAACCTGCTAGGAGACCCAAGTTGTCTTTACCATAGTCTACCAACAAAAAATCCGTTACAATGAGATCTAAAAGCCTTGTTCCGCAGATTACAGATGCGCAACCATAAGTTGACCTTTTCAACAGTTTCCACTTCCCGTCGCATGATGCAAAGGATATGCTGGTACAGGATGACCGTGTCGATGCAAATATGGGACTGAATCAGAGACCGACGAAGAGGTATTGCACTGAACCGATGGAAGCCATGTCGTTCATACAGCACAGAGAGTTTGCAGTAAGCAGGAAAGAAAGCGAGAGGGTCAACAGCAACTGAATATGCGAGCGGCTGGTCGGAAAGGGGAATGAAGGACCACATCTCTTCTAGAAGCTCACTCTCTTCAGCGGTCAAGTCATCAAGTGACTTGGGCACGATATCAAAAAGGAAAATTGACTTTAAGTAGCATAGCCGAGTAAAGAAAGCTTTCCGTGCATCGCTTTTCAGTGGCAGTCGCTGCTTCTGTCCCTTCACATCGAGCCGCAGATTGATATACCGAAGGAGCATCTGCATGAAATGCTCTTGAACGTTGACTTTCAGGTTCGTCATCATACTCGCTGTCAGGTAATTGACTGATTGCTGCTCTTTTTGTAGATTTGGATGAACGAAGCCGACAATGTGGCAGTACTGTTGGACATACAGCAACAAGGATTTGCGCAATGCCTTTTTCGCATCAGCTTTTGGTTGCCAAGCCTCTCCTTTGTTGAGAAGATAGAGAATCGCTTCGATTGTATCTTGATCTACCGTGGGAAAGGATGGTGCAGATAGGATGTAGAATTTGAGAGCGTGGGAAGCATGGTCAGCAAGTTGATGGATGATGGCAGTGTAATCTAAAAGCCGTTGGCGGTAGATGTCGTTTGGCAGGAAAGCTTTTGCAAAGGAAGTCTTGTTGCAGGTATGTAAGGTAGGGTTTTCAAGCTTTTGCTTCTTTTTTGGTGGCATGATGATATCTGTGGAAAAAGATGAAAGCCTGGGAAAATGGGCACGACAACTTATATAGGATTTTTTGGATCAAACCATAGTTCATGAGTCTAAATCGAGTAAAATTATGATTAAATTGGTTGGAATCTATGTACTAGTGCCAATACCCATCGGCTCCGCACTATGCAGTTTATGGTATCTCCAAAATGTTTGGTTTTTTGGTCCCCATCTTTGGTGAAATACTCCCCATTCTCAAAATACGTTTTGAAACCCAGTTTCTTAATTCCGACTATCATTCGGCACCAAAAAAAAAAAAAGGCTTTCATCACAAGAATATTTCAAAAGAGGTTTTAGAGGTCCCCGAGGTATTTCCAATGGTTGGACTTCCTTCAGTCAATGTAAATGACAGAAATCCAGCATCTCCGCTCACCCAAAACTTTTTTTTTTATTTTTATATTGTATGTACAAGCCAGTCCATTTCGAATTTCCATACAAGTTTCCTCCATCGTTGCCGAACGCTTAATGGCCTTTTACCTACTTCCACTATGTACACATTTTTTTCTTTTTTTGTTTTATATACAAGCCAGTCCATACACGAATTCACCAACGTTTCGACATGGCACATTGATCATTTTTTCGGATCACCGCCGCCGGGTCGGGTAGGAGTAACGTTATCCCCTCCGCCAACGTTAGGAGGCGGGCTCGGATATTTGTTATCTTTAACGGGAACTCTCTCGCCTTTTGGTAAGTTCGTTTTGGGGATGGCTGGCGGGCTTGGAAATTTGATGGGCCCGGGAACGATTTTAACGGCTCTGGGTCTCGGTGCTGCATTTTGAGGGAATGGAGCGGCCAGAGCTGATACGCCTAGCAAGGCGAGAACGACGAACAAGATTGCGTAGATGCGCGAAAAGCAGGTCATTTCTTGGGGTCGCTGGTTTTTTTTGGTTTGGGTTTTGCTTTTTTTTTGTTGAATGTTTGGCGAGGTTTACAATACCCAAAGAGAAGATGGTGAATGAAAGGAGGAACGTTACCTGCTCGTCGTCCTTTTATGCACATTGTCAGCAGGCAAGATGTTTTTATTGTATTTTCTACAAATGATGTCTGCCTGTAGTGAACATGTTCAGTATTCTGGTGACAAAAATCCGGGATCTACTCCCCAGAATAAACGTCTAAAGCCAACTAACAACGCTCTCGTTCCCTATTCAACATTGCTGGGGAAGATGTTAACAAAAAACTCTCTAGTGCCTCGCATGGTAGCAACGACTCTGACGCAATTCAAAGCTCCGGTCCCAACTCATCAAAGAACTTTAGATTTCCAACCAGTCCTTCACCGATGCATGTTAACAGAAGGCATGTTGTTAACATGTTGGGACCGGAGCTTGAATTGAGTCAGAGTCGTGACGATGTGTTAAACGGGGTTTGAGATATGCACACCCCTTTCGTCAATGCTGTAGAGTAGAGAGGATTTGAAATGGACTGGTGCAGATGATTCATGATGTGACATGGGATTGAAAGGGTTGATCTTTTTAGGATGGCGAGTGAAGAAGGTTTACGGGGACGTTTTTTTTTTGTAGTGGGGGATGAACCGGGGATTGACGTGTTATTGTGTTTTGTTTTTAGCTTGCTTGAGATGCGTTCGTGAAGTGATTGCCTTTGTCGGGGAGGTTGAACTAGTGACAGTCCCAATAACAAGACAGGTACCATATACTGCGTCTGTACACAGGGCGCCTAAAGCAACATATGAAAGGGTGCCCGGGCCACATGGATCAGTTGTTGGTTGGCCCTTGACTAGGGGTTTTTTTTGGGGGTTGTGGTTCCTGGTTTTGGCACCTGGCTTTAATTAAATGGTTATTGCTACAGCACGGTGACCGACGATAGAGATGACAGGCTCCAAGAGCATTGTTGCGGGAACAAGGTGGGGAACGGGCAAGCGTTTGTCATTCTTGTGTGTTGGAACAAGGTGAGAAACGGGTAAATGTGTCCTACTTGTATGCATATCTGCGATGGGACCATTGTGGCATTCGGAATCCCCCTCCATTCAGTGGCCAATGGAAATTTTGGGTATGAACGGGGACAAACAAGAAAACAGTTGGATTGCAAACTTAAATTCGGATGGAGGAATGGAGATGGTTTGTAGATAGTACAGTGATTTGGTATTTCCGAGAAGTACGGAATTTGGGAGGGGGACATTGGACAAGCGTCATCACCGCAGATCCCGTCACTCCAGCTCAAAATGGGAGACAGACAACCTTGTCCGCAGGAGAAAATATAGGATTTTGAATGATCAGTTGATAACATCGGAACCTGGATGCAACGGTTTTGGTGGATATCCAAACGATGAAAAACGTATACAAAAAACTTTACTAACGAACCCAACGTTCGAAAAAACAAGTATGTACACAAAACACCATTTCACGCCCTATACAAACGTTTGTCCATCTTACACTTATTCCTCTTTTAGCTGCCGCACATCACTCAACTCGGGCGTGCCTTTAGAAGCCGGTGCCGAAAATCGTGTTTGCAAAAACACTTTAATGATGCCTGCTTCCTTTTTGTCGAATCGGTTGTAGACTTCGACAATTTGGTCGAGGGGGAACCGGTGGGTTACGATGATGGTGGGGTCAAACTAAGGGGGTGGTAAAATGTGTTAAAACAAAAGATAGGGGAGGGTAATTTTGAATCACTTTTACCTCGCCGGAACGGATGTAGTCGAGACATTCTTGCCAGTAGCGTTGTACGGGGGCTTGGCCGCAGCCTATGAGGCGGATACCTAAACAGATGCAGTGTTGTGTGTAAGCGGTGGGGTTCGAGAGACCAAGTGTTGGCGGCAAGGGGGTGACAACAGTTCCTTTGCTCTTTACCTTTTTCCATGACGGCGCCAATCATGAATCCGTTCGTGTTGGCTTTTAGCAGAATACACAATGATTAGATCCAGCACTCAGGAACATAACAAGAAATGGGTTCTCATGTTGCATACCAGCATAATCAGCAATCAACGCAACAGTTCCAAACTTTTTAACCGCCCGAATCTCTTCATTGACAATCTCGGACGAGTCCGTCTCCAACCCAATCGCCCGTTGGACTTTATGCACCATACTCTTTGCATACCGAAAAGCCGCACAATCAATGGCTCGATCCAACCCTTTAGGAGCCAATTCCATAATCCTTCCAACAACATCAGGGTACTCTTCAAAATCAATTGTTTCTACTCCCCATTTCTCGCGGGCAAGCGCCATACGAGATTGGACATTATCAATTGCAATGATGCGTCCGACTTTTTTGACACGGAGCCATTGAGCGACGAGGAGGCCTATGGGACCTAATCCCCATACTCCGATTGTTTCTCCGGGTTGGGCACCGCTTTCAACGACGGCGTGGTAGGCGGTGCAGACAATGTCGGAGAGGTAGAGAGCTTTTTCGTCGGGGATGTCTGAGGGGAGGGGGAGGAGGTTGACGTCTGCAAAGGGTTGGCGAACGTATTCGGCTTGCCCGCCTGCAAAACCGCTGTTTTTAGAAATAAAAAGAAAAAAATGAAAATGGGTGAGACGAAATCCGGATAGGTACGTGCAGTATTTGAGAATACGTTACCCTCCAAAATGACCGTATCCTACATAATATAAAATGAATAAGTACTCATGAAACAAGACTGAAAGAAGGAAAAAGGCCATTCAAAGCAAGAACACATACCCAAAATTCCACCCAACTTTTGTCCATACATTTTTTCCATCAGCGCCGAATTATTCGTCGCATCACATTCGGTATACTGCTGTTTACGACAATACTCACACTCACCACACCCAATATTGAACGCGGCGACGACCCTCATGCCCTTTTTAATTTTCGTTACTTGGCTTCCAACCTCTTCCACAATGCCCATGTACTCATGTCCAAGGATATCGCCCTTTTTGAGTTGGAGAATCTCCCCGTGCAGGAGGTGCAAGTCACTTCCGCAGACGGTTGTACCCGTGACGCGGATAATGGCGTCCTTTGGATGCGAGATTGTGGGGACGGGCGTGTCAATGAGACGGAGATCGTGTTTGCCGTACCAGGCGAGGGCTTTCATGGTTTGCGAGGTTGGGGTGGGTTTATTGGGAGTTGCAGTGGGTTTGTCGCCGAGGTAATTTTCGAGGACGTTGGATGCAGTGTTCATGGCCATTTTTGTGTGTGTTTGGTCTTTTCGAGTGGTTTGTAGTAAACTAGCGGCTTTCAACAAAGTATGTAGAGTTTGTTCCAAAAGAAAGGGAGACAAAATGCAAAAAGGGCATCGAATGCCTCCTTTATATATTTCAATGAACAAAAAGAATAAAAAAAAAAGAAAATGACCAAGGTGTGATGTCAAAAAAAAGGACTCTTGTTCTTTTACCAATCATCACAATCCAATCATCATCATCATCATCATCAACACCCTCACACTCCTCAAAGCGTAAACATTCATCATCATCATCACCCAAAAAACAAACACGTTGGAAAAGAACAGACTTCATGGTGACCTCATCAAAAGAAGGGAATCCGTTTCCCCACACAAAGGAGGCTTAGTCTGGCGTTTCTTCCTTGCAACCAACGGACAAGATTCAACCAAAGCAAAACAAAACCAACAAAGCAACTTGAACAAAGCAACCGATATTCGCCTTGCCATCTGCAACTACTTTTTGTCTGGTTTTCCAAACCCTATCCACTCGCTTGTTTACCCGTTGGCCGCATCCCACCTCGCATCTTCCAAAACAATCCACACGCATTACCTGACACAAAAACGAAAAACAATATTTAAAAACCACTCGTATGTTTCTCAAAAACGCATAAACATACATAACACTACTCCACCCCTTCCTTTCCTCCAAAGCGGCGACTCTATTACCCCACAATTCGTGCATACGGTTTCTCGAGTGCGGATGAGGTGTCCAGAGGGGGATACTGGGCGATCCGTTCCGTGAATCCTAATACTAAAATACGAAAATGAGAAATATTATTTTGGAATCACTCACACAAAATGGGTACGTACTAGAGTCCACACGCATTACATAGCACCCGTCCCCCGAACCGTCTCCAAGCGGATGATGTTGTTGTTGTGCAGTTTGTGCAGGTTTTGGGTGTCTTGTGTCGGGTGCGGGGTGTAAACGGTTTTGGCGTATTGGAGGGCATGGATGCTGTGGAGGGTTCCGATGTGGGGTTTGGTGTTTCTTGTAATTGCAGGGAGAGGTTCCAATCTTGTATCTGCTGGTGGTGTTGGGTGGGTGTGGTGGTGGACGTGGTGATGGGTGAACGTATCATGCTGGGAACCTTCAATATGGACTCGTATGCTGCAAACAAGGACAGTAGCGGAGGTTCAATTGTTTTGGAAAGAAAGGAAGTAAGTACGTATCTAGCTGTCAAGCAATGGGAAAAAATAGGATGGGTGATGTGTAATGTGAAAAGCCCTGGGTTTAGAACGGGGTTCTCAACCCCAACAATAGACGAGGGGGTTTGGAATGGATTTATTTGAGTACTGGTTGCGTCAGGCACCGCAACGAGTGTCCAAAGCGGTTCAAAAGTATGTGAAAGATTAAACGTTTTGTAATGTGTATCAACCTGACAGGCTTGGATAACATTATTCATTGGGGTAGAGTCTGTCCATATTTGACATACGATTGAGCAACACCCAACCCACCGGACATGAGATGCACATCATACATTCGTTTTTACGCATAGAAACACATATTTGGGGCAATCGAAATATGCATGCACGGGGTGTGAACGCACAATACATATCAGCAGTTGTTTGTACTTCCCGCATACCTTGCATCAACACCAAGGCTCATGTCACATAGAGAGGGAATTTGGTAACTTTGTACAGTTGTTTTTGACTCTTTATCGTTGTTCAATTCTTACGGAGAGGTGCAACCTGCTTTTTTCTCAATGGATGGACAACGGACTGCATACTCAAAGCCAGGATGATCATCTTTATTCTACGAAGAGACGAATGTGTGCCAAGACTTCAAATCCCATATCGCACTTATACATTGGTTATGCATTGGGATATCCAGTCCACTCCTTACCACCATGGCTAATTTAGGTTCTACCATGGAGGAATACGTACTCGACAAGGGTCGCAATGTGTGCGATGAAATTCAAACTCTGCTTGACAGATACGTTGAAAGTTGTGCTTGATATTCTGTGGGCTTGTTGGTAAATTTACACACATTTCCGTGCTTTCACTCATTCCTTGCTTGATGATCGTAGAAGGAAGGGAAATAGAACAGTTATGTGTGTGTGTGTGTTTGTTTAGCGGGTGGTCAAACCGCATATCCGTAAATATTAAAAGCGAGAAGACGTTTTTTGAGGGACTTTCCCTCCCAAGATGACATTGTGCACATTCTAACAGACAACTCAAGGGTCTTTTTTTGAAGGCTGTATTGTGGCTCTGGCAGCATCTGTAACTTTCCTAAATGTGGTGTAAAGACCATAATGTGCTTTTGGGTAGTTTTTGACGTTGAACACCTTTTTCTGATGGATTCTGAGGTCCTGTGTGTCGCAAGCCTGGACCTTTGTATGCAGACATGGCACTCCTTCCAACAGCAGCAGCTCGTGCTAGGGATCGATGGGATTGCCGTAATCGGCATATGTGCTTTGCATGCAAAAAAAAAACTTGGCAATTCGGTATATCGGCTGCGCCGATTATTGCGCAAGTCAAAACTGTTTTTTATTTGTGGTCGGAGGGGGATGTGCTGTTGGGGTCCGTTCGCCAGTGTCCACAACCACTTTTTCTTTGGGCATATCTAACATGCCCTTTGGCTGATTGACCAAGCTTTCTCTGCGTTCCTTGTCAAAACTTTCTGTTTGCCAAATGATGCGGGGCAATGTTTAATGGTATCTGCCTTTTTCTCTTATTAAACCAGTCATAGCATTGGCGGAGGATTTTTGAGGGGACGATGAGATGCAAAAAGACGCTTTGTACTGCTCATGACCGGGTCTCGTGTGCTATCCTTCACGGCCTCGTTTGCGGCCTCGTTCACCCCTATTGCTGGAAACGATGCTCGCACAGTAATAATGTCTTGTGGGGTCATGCCTGCTGCAACTGAGGGATGACCGATGAAAAATGGTCCTTTTGTGTGTGTGTGTGTGTGTGTGTTTCAATTATCTACTCGATTTTTTTTCTTCTTTTGCGGAATGTCGCGACATCCCAAAAGGTGGATGATCAAGATAACGGGACGGCTCACTTGTGTATTTATTTGATCATTGACCAGCAAAAAAGAAAAAAAAATCTTAACACATTGGGTAACAAACACCGTTGGATGACCGACCAGAAAACGGACTGAAACAGACGAGAGGCTCTTGGATGGGACGTCGTCAAATGAACGAATCCGCTTGGAAACGCAAACAAGAAGGTGCTTCATGGATGGAATCAAAAAACGCCGTTTGTCCTGCGTTGAACTTGACAAGGCGGGCAAAGGAGGACAGAAAGTCGTTTAAACTTATTTTTTTAGGGGGAAATTGGAAAACGGTTTCTCTGCGCTCAAGTGACAAATCTCGTCACACTTCCAAGTTTCAAGTATTTAGCACACCTTTTTTGGAACACTCGGCTTTGCAAGCTTTTTGTTGTTGTAACACACTTTTACAGCAATCGTTTGTCGTTGAATTTGTTTGTCCGCCGTTTTTCTTCTCTCGCCATACAACATGCCGAACGATTGGAGGGGGAGACATGACCGATCAGCGACAACGTGCAACTGCAACACACCGACAAAAGTGCGACATTTTCACCTTTTCGCTTTTGGAATTTTCGTGCGTCCATCCCACTTTTTGTTTTCTTTCGTTAAATGGCACGTTGAATGCAACAACGGCAAAGGAGGAGACGGAAGCGGTTAGGGTAAAGGTGTTGTTCGTGTTGTTGTTGGACATCACTGCACACATCACACATCACACATTACACACACACAAAGAGTTGCGCTCAACAAAACTAGAAAAGAAAAATGAAGAATCCTTTTGCACAACGGTCAAAAAGACAAAAAAATGGTCTTTTTCATACTCCTTTTGGGGTAAAACCCACCCGCTATACTCGAAAAAGACTAAGGTTCTTTGCGGCTGAAGAAGAGACGAGAGGCAAAATGTTGTTGTATGGGCTGCAATTCCCCCTCCCCATCCAATCCAACATCTCGTTCGCTTTAAAAAGCTCGTAGCATCCCGTCCGCCCCCTCCCTCTCTCACTTACCGGTAGAAACTCTTCTTGTTTAAACTACAAGGAATCACACGCAGGCGTTTGATCCCCCCCATCGAGTTTTCCGTCGTCGTTTTTTTCGTTCTTTTTAGACTTTATAGACATAGACCATACCCCTCCTCGTTCTCTTCACTCAAACACAACACATACACACATCATGTCCTCTTCTAAGCTTATGTTGGCTTTCGCTGCCTTGACGGCCTCTTCTGCATTGGTCGGTGCCGCTCCGGCTCCCGCTAGGTTGGCCAGGAGTATCCCCCAGTACGGTGTCGCTCCTCCCAAGCCGGAATACCCTACGCCTCCCAAGGCTCCCGAGTACCCTGTTCCTCCCGTGACTCCCGAGGAGCCCGAGACACCTCCTGCGACGGCTACCGTCCCCGCTGGTACGGCTACCGCGGTTGTCCCCATCGCTACTGGTCCTGCTGGTCCTGGATACAACAGGCCGCCTGTTGCGACCCTTCCTCCGGTCGTCCCGGTTCCTGCTTACCCCACTGCTACGCCTGCTCCTCCCGCTGGTGGTGAGGAGAACTTGCCTGGTGTCATTCCTGAGGTGCCCGAGGGTGAGATTCCCGAAGGGTCGCCCGAAGGTGAGATTCCCGAAGGTGAGCTCCCCGAAGGTTCTCCTGAGGAAATCCCCGAAGGTTCCCCCGAAGGTTCTCCTGAGGAAATTCCCGAAGGTTCTCCTGAGGAGATCCCCGAAGGTTCACCCGAAAGGTTCTCCTGAGGAAATCCCCGAAGGTGAGATCCCCGAAGCCGGCGAAGAGAGCTGCGCCGTCCCCGTCGAAAGAACTTTGGTGAAG